ACGGCGAAAATGACCACGTTGCACCTGAAGACGTACAAGGAGGCGTCCAATCGTCAAATGTCAGAGGAAGTACCCCCCCAAAACAACACGTTCTGAATCAAGAACTACCCTCGCATTAGCCGTATCTTTTACTGTTTCGGCCCTAGAAGTGGATATATTGAAAACAATGGCAGAAAGTCAAGTTATAAGACTCTTTGACAAACAATATACAATCTAAAAACTGCGCGGGTTATTTTTTTTTTTTTAATTTTTAAGCAAAGCAGAAGGGTGGGGTGTAGTCACGGTGTTGCCCCGTTACAGTCTTTTGTCATTTCCAAGGAGCAAATCTCTAGGGCCGCAGGCCCCCAGCCGAACGCTTTAGTTTACTCAAATATGCAAAGTAATTTACCAGTCACAGTATTTATTTGATTATGCACTTCAGTAAATCGCGAGACTGAAATGGTCGGGCCGAAGGCCCGACCATCGCCGCCGGCAGGCCAAGCAGGCCCGGCCCCTGCCGAACGGAGTTGCCGGCGCAGCGAAGTGGAGCTGGCAACTCCGTTTGGCGGAAGGGCGGGCCTGCTTGTTTGACATTTTTTCCATGAGATTCTAATGGTACATTGATACATGGTGAGGCTTGTGGATGACATGTGAAGCATATTGGGCTAGTCCAGAGCACCCGGAACACCACAGGAACTGTACGGGAGTGTCAGTCACAGCGTATCATTTTTGATACATCCGAAATTTGGTCGCAGCGCGGTTCTGAAAACATGGTCGGCACCGTAGGGGTTGCAGGATCACAATCAAGACATGTACACTTTCGTCATAAAATATAGAGTGTGCTCATTAGCCCCACGACGCAGGTCGCGCGTCCAGATATACCCCTTTACGTCACAGTGTATCACTTTTGATACATGCGAAATTTGGTCGCAGCGCGGTTCTAAAAACATGGTGGGCACCGCACGGGTTGCGGGATCACTAGCAAGACATGTACACTTGTAAACTATACATAGTTCTCATTAGCCCCACGACGCGGGTCGGGCGTCTAGACATACCCCTCCCTAACGTCACAGCGTATCATTTTTGATACATCCGAAATTTGGTCACAGCGCGTTTCTAAAAACATGGTTGGCACCGCACGGGTTGCGGGATCACTAGCAAGACATGTACACTTGTAAAATATAAAGTGTGCTCATTAGCCCCACGACGCGAGTCGCGCGTCCAGACATCCCCTTTACGTCACAGTGTACCCCCTGGGTAAAAACACCATGGGGCTGTCCATGAGCCATGGACATAAATTTAACCATGGAGTTTTGTGACCATAGATTTATGGAACCAGTAAACCATGAAAACAACAGTTGACCATGAGTATATGGTGGATGGATTGCATGGCCATGGCTAATGTGCTCCATGGCAAGGGATGACCATGAGAATTGGCTTTCATGGTCACAACTAAGTCCATGAATGTGT